CGTATTAGTGGTAGCCAGCTTGCGTGACGTCATCATAGACCTGGAGGTGTGACCCAAACGATGCACCCTCTTCCATATGGTCTATTCCTAATGTATCTTCTATGACAGATATATAAATATTATATTGGTATTCTATTTATGTCTACGCTTAATTTTGTATCTCAGAGTCATACGGTCGTACGTACTTCGTTCGAAACGTACAGTAATAACTAGACAATAATTTTTTAGTCATTATACAGGGCCGTAGCTTGCGGGGGGGGGGCAGCTGCCCGCCTAGATTTTGAAGCAAAATTAAAAAAAAAAAATTGTTCTACTAAAAGAGAATTGTCGTAGTCAGAATGAAGGCTGTACATGTACTCAAAAGTGCCTCAAATACCATCTCCTGCGATCTACATTTTCAAAATGTTCTGTGGGAGGACCCCCAGACCCCCGCCTGTTTCTCGCCCCTTCCTTGAAGTACTGCCACTGCCCCCCCTCCCCACCTAAGAATTTGCTTAGCCTACGGCCATGCTATACTATAATATCAAGATTCAATACATATGGGATATACCGTACTGACGGGCTTATATTTGCTACGTATGAGGATGTAAATTATAGATATATTAGGGATATATATCTTCATAGAAAGCGGTTTTTTGAATATTATAACGCGTTAAACTGTTCAGCCCAGACCAGATATATTTATCACAAATGCGTTCATGTACATACAAAATAACTCAATATGGGAATTGAGAGAATTAAAATTTGGCCTATGAAGTCATTTGATAATTATAGTTCTCCTCCCTTGCGCACCAACTATCCGCGTTTTGTGCATGCATGTATATTAGTGTAGAATAACCTTATACATCTCAAGAGAGAACGCGTTATTTGTTTTTAGCAATGATTGACTATATATATACCCGAATGCTTTTATTTCAAAACTTCTAGTTGTAGGTGTATATATAGCTACCCTCGTAAATAATGGAGGAAATTGTGTAGAGATGCTGACAATATGAATATCAGAAAGTTATCCAAAAATCGAGAACACTTGTGGTAAATATTCGTATAAAGTGAAAGGAATTTTTTTTAATAAAAAAGCGATTGAAGTATTGAAAGTTGTTTAAAAATATTTCAGTGATGTAAATAAAGCTTGTTCATGACAATAAGAATTGTCATAAAGCTAAAATTTATGACAACAATATTGCCAAAAAAATTAACAATAAAAACATTATTATGCGATGCATGTTATACATGCATTTATCGAAACTGAGGTGGAAGCGGAAGATAGATCCGTATCAGCGGACGTATTTGCGTTTCGTTACTATAGTGCTGACTTATTTCGTCCGGCTACCGCCATTCAACTGTTCTGGCTATGATCTTGAAACGTTGAATAAGATTGAAATTAAATTACTATCATAAGGACTTAAAAATCGAGACACAATGAACTTCCTGTGTAAAGCGGCTGGTCCAGAAATGGCCCGGTACCTGAGTGTGACATCGATAGCTGCCGGCACGCAAAGAACACTCCAAGGTCAGATATTGCGACATGGCAAAAGTTTGTGTGTGTGTGTTGTTAGTTAGTGGCGCGGAGAGGGTCTATGTCCCCCGGGCCGGGGTACTGCCGGAACGTACCATGGTACTATCTAATATGCCGGCCCGTACCTCGCCTACTCCACTAACGAGTCTAGGGTGTCGCCTACGCCTACTCCCTAACCCTAACCCTAATCCTAACCCTAACCCTAACGCCAAAAAGGGGCTTCAATGACCGACGGCTACCGTACCCGTAGCCACTGCGTATCAAATACTGAAATAGTTACCAGGGTACGTTCCGGTATACCGGACCGTAACCAGGGTACGTTCCGGCAGTACCTTGGGGGACATAGACCCTATGAGTGTCACTGTGTTATTCACAGGGTAGCAAATACCATACATTGCCCTAGTTTCAATTATACACATACATGTAATAAACCAATCCCATGCAGAGACAGGGTCTGCCAGGATGGCACGTGTCTTAAGCCCGAAGCACACGCGAGTAATTTTACTCGAGTAAAATGATGCATGCGTCAAAATACTCAACGAAAATCCGCCGCACACGTGAGTATTTTTTGACGCATGCATCATTTTACTTGAGTAAAATTACTCACGTGTTCGCCAGGCTTTATGGTTACGTGTTTGTATCTAACATTACCCCAGCTCTACCCGTGTAGCCCTTTGCCCTGCCACAGTGTATATATCATTATATGGGAACTTGGTGAGAAATCTTTGCATCATGGCCAGACACGCTGTACATAGCCCGTGGCACAATGAAAAATGACGGTAGCCAATAAAAAATACTTGGTTTGGCCGGCTGCTCTAAACTAAAACTCTAAACTCAAATCTTTATTATTAGTAAATTCCTATTGTATATGTATAATTCAAATACATTGTGCTACATCATGTACTGAATGTACTGTATGAAATGAAGTTGGCGGAATTTGGTCGTTTATCGAACACAAATGATCGCTACATGGACATATTTATATTGCCACATTATAAGTAGAAGAGTTAGTGAGGGGCCCCTGTATTCCCTACCAGGTTATGCTTGCTGCATATGTTTCAATTTCACATTGAATGATACAATTCTGGGTTATTAAAGAGCGTTAACACTTATACATGTATGAATGATAAGGCCACGGCGGGCGTGGCGGCCAGGACGGGGTCGTGAAGGGCGGTGCGGCAGGGCTGGGGTTATATCGGGGGGGGACGGGTAGGGCGGAAGGAAGGGGTGGGCGGGATGGGGAGGTGGGTCAATGGTGGGCGTGCGGAAGTTTGGGGGCGGGACGGGCAGGGGGAGCGGGGTGGGGGCAGGGTGGTTGAAATTAGCTGTAGCACCATGCAAACGGTTTGCTGCTAAGCTAATTACTAGTTCTATTTACGCACATCTATATGCACGTTTGTGACTTTTTTAAAGTAAATTCAAGGCGTTAATTTTGCCTTCTTCTTCTCTTTCCTCTTCTTTTATACTATATAGTATTATATATAGTTCTAGAGGTGAAATGTCTCCTCATAAGGCCACGAAAACATGTATCGCGCACTTTTTCTCGTGTGTGAGCGAGCGACGCAGACGCCCAGATGAACTGTGAACAAGATTGCTCAGGAACAGCGCCGTCCGTGCCATACGAAATGACAACAGCTGTCAGTGCACGGGCTTGCTTCGAACCCCGATGTTGATATGTAGACTGCTGCCCCTCTCCTTTCTTCACCGCGCCGCGAAAAAACCGAGGAAAAACACGAGCGGCGGGTAGGCTCTCCGCAAATACAGCTAGCGAGTGCCGTAAACAAGACAGCTCGGGATTCCGTACACCCTCACGCTGGAATTCCTTCTTTACCTTCTACCCCTCTTCCGCTGCGGCGGTTGCTGCTGCTACTGCTGCTACTAAATTACCACGACGACTACTACAAAACTATACTACTACTACTACTACTGATCTGACTAACTGACTAATATACTACTACTATATT